GCTGGAGCCAACTCAGTACTTCAGCCGACAACAATACGTACTGTGTTGGAGCTCTGCGAGATAGTGGGCAGGGAGGGCTTGTGTTCATTCAATGGGCGTCTGAATGAATGTGTGCGCTGCATGGCTTTCACTGCATTATTTACATTCCTGGACCACATGGAAATTCTTTGGCATTATATACTGACTAAAAGCTCTGTTTGGTTCAGGAGGGAGAGAGAGGAGGCGGGAAAGAGGTGGTTGTGCGCCTGTGTCGGACTGAATATGTGTGCCATGTCATTCAAAGTTAAGTCCCAGCTGCCTAACGGGAAAATGAAGTTTTTGTTTTTGCATCGGCTGCATCGCAAAGAGCTGAATGGCTTTCAGCGTTGCAGGATGAGCGTGTTTGTTTTGCAACAGATGTTTTGCAGTTGTGTCCGTCTGGCCTTATTCTTGCTCACTTGCCCCGTCTCTTTTTGAGAGAAACTGGAAGTTCATGTTCGCAAAGTTGCTTTAAGATGAAAGGGTAAAATAGAGAGAGAACGCTCTGCCAGATGTTCGTTGCAATTAGTATTAAAAATAAACTTTGTTCTTTGTTGACAAGGCATTGCATCAGTGTGTTTTGCAACTGGTGTTTTTTTTTTTTTCCTTCAGGTCACAGTTTTGTGAATTTGAATTTATAACTTTTTTGCAATATATTATTTGCTACGACTGTGGGATTAAACACTTAAACGTGTGTGTGTGTGTGTGTATGTGTGTGTGTATATATATTATATATATTTATACACACACACACACACTGTTAATTAAAAAAAAATGTTATTCACTAACCAAAGTACGACACATTGTCACATACACACACATTTAATTATGTATGTTTATATGTAATTTACTTTAATAATTACTAAATATTTAGTATTTATAATACTATTTAATATTTAAAATAAATATCAAATAATTAAATTAAATTATATATCATAAAATACATACATATATAATTTATTTTAATTATATGACTATTTATTATTAATATTTTAATTTTAATATTTACTGGTAATTTTAATTATTGTTTAAAAATATATTTTATTATTATTTTTAATTGTTTTACTAGTTTTTTTGTTGTACTTTTAATTTGTCTTTTTTTCCCCCTGAAACTTGTTTTACAGCTGCTGGTTAGCCTCCTTTTAATACTTTTTTGTCTGTTTTCCCCGACACCCCTTGACTCCAGCACTCCTCCCTCCTTCACCTCCCCCTCCCCTCATCCTTTGCTCACCTCTCCTTATTTGGGCAGAGTGCTTGGGAGCACAGGGTGGGGAAGAGGGTAGAGCGAGAAGGGGCTCGGTTGACATAAGGGAGAGAGAGAGAGAGAGAGAACTAACGCTGCACTTCCTTAATAAGGACATGTCTGGAATTTAAGCCCAACTCTCCAATAGAACGGCTTCTCCGCGCAGAAAATGGAAAATTTTTTCAAAACCGCTTTAACAAAAAAAAAAAAAAAAATCATGATGTTAATGTTTATAATATCTTAACACCACGGTGTTTTTTGAAGTACCTTACAATAAAGTTTTTCAATGCCCCATGGTGTATAAAAATGGTATTAGTTTTAATTTTTTGCATTGATAAGCCACGTCCAGGCCACTTTCCCGCTGTCAGCTGTACTACTAGCTCTTTCTTTATCAGGAGTGCCGAGAACGCTCAAGTCCCTGGGCGTGCTGCTGTTGCGTTTTGTCCA